ATTAGTTAACGCTTTGCAATGCTTTACCGAGAGACGCATCCCTGGAATCACGTGATCATGCTGTCGACTGCTTTGTTACACCGCACGCTTTAGTTTTTTTGACCTTTTGATATAGAGTTTGTAACTTAGTAACGAGAGACAGTGCAGGAAGGGTTACCTCAGCGAACTGTTTGAGAAAAGTGAGTCGATTGGTAGCCTTTCCCTTGTTTTTTTTTTATTTATAACCGTTGATATTTGAGACTTTATAATCATAGTATTTAATTAGTGTGTTTCACTCTTTTGATTTATACCTTTTCCTTATATTAGTATTGTATTTAACATGTATGACGATGAGTAGAGGACGGTATCTTTGATTTATGAACGTGTTATGCCGGGAGGCATATCTCAGTTTGGGTGAAGGGATGTGTCATGAATTAGTTTCCACGTATCTGTTGGCCGACTTAATTAGCTGATTATTAGCGAATTGCTGTGTTATGTCTGTCATCGTTTAGGCCTATTTGAAGTTTTGGACGGAACTTGGCTCAGTGATTTGGAACTAATTACGAGATAACCGTCGCTATTCTGACTACGATTCTGACAGTTGGTATCCGTAGTTATTAATGTAGTGAACGATTAATCAAAAGATATGACGTATTCAGTACTTAGTGTGATTGCTGCCCTGAGCACTACCGATAGTCTGATAGATGCCTTCTTCGCTTACTTTATCCTTGCTCCTATATATCATAGTAGGAACGGAGAATTGAAACTAAACTGATTAAAACATGTATGTGTTGTGGCTTTATGATTGAAGGTCTTTTTAGAGTCTTTTTACTGCTTTGTAATTGGTTAAGCTTTTGAAAATGAATAAAGAGAGTTTGAGTTGGTCTTGAGGAGTACACCAGAACAGACGCAGTCCTGGAGAGTCTTGGGCGAGTCTCGGGTCAGCCTTGCGATAGTCTTGGGGATTTTTCCCCAGGGCGCTGTGTCTTATAGAGTGCTCAAAAGACCGACTAAGACGAGAGTTGAAACGTATTTCGTTGTGTGTGTCTTATTTGACTGTAAAGCTTAAGTGACTTACCCGATCCCGTACCTCAAGGGGACGCGATAGAGAGACGAGACGAGATTCCCCCCTGACACGTGTGGAGAACACTAGAGAAGAAGAATTTTCCCCCTGATATTTGCAGTGCTCCTCAATTATGCTTAGATCTTTGATACTAGCATATGACTTGAGTGAATGAAATAATTGCAAAAATTATTTTCTTATCATCATCTCCGATTGAAATGGATAACTCCCTTTGCGTATTCAAATTTTCAACTTTGACAACCAATCAAACAGATAGACAGTTTTGTTTATCTTGGTGTCCATGCGATACACATCTGTCACGCCTATTACCAAATAGAGATTTCGGCGCCTTAATATGCGTGAGAATAGCAAGACTTTTAGCATAATTCTGTATCACAAATCAATTCTTCCCTACATCGACTATTGCAATACTGTCTGCTCCCACTATGATGACGTGAATATACCGAGGTTACAAAAGTTACAAAAAAACAAAGGAATAGGAATTTCCTGAAAATCAATAATATAATATAATTTTGTAATAACATGTATTGTAATACTCAAGGTAAATAAAAATCCACTTCTAGTATCCCGTTGTGGAGTCTATAGACTTGGGAGAATGAGGTTACCCTTTGCCACAACTGTCACCCTTGGGCAAGGTATAGTACCTGTAAGCCTTGGGTGCCAACTTCCCACATAACAAGTTTGGTTGACGTCAGTAAAGGTATACGGTCGTAAAACACTGCACAAACAGATCCGCATAGGTGAACAATATTTCATGTAAACATGTATATATATGTTTCAATTGTTCTTAGAATTTGACAGGGGGATCGTAAACTATTGTAGTTACAACCAGTGTGACTGGCCTGTCAACGGGTGCTAAGGATTTCATGGTGAAAGATATTAGTCACATCCGTTAATGTAATTTCGTTTTACTTACACGTAAATCAAAAATCACGCCTAGTAAATATGTGCCCAAGATTCAAGAAAGTGCACTCTACTAGGGCTAGTGCAAAATAATGTGGAATAGTGCCACACCGACCTGACTGAGTGCACACTACTAGGGCTAGTGCAAAATAATGTGGAATGGTGCCACACC